GTCGTTCGTACCTGCTGTAACAATCCGAATAGCCCTGCTAGAAGCAGTCTGTCGATGAGCAAAAATCCCTCGACAATGATAGAAACTCCTCGATGCATGCAACCAAAAACACATCAGAAAAAATAAAAAAATAGGGGACCATTCTCATCGAACAACAAATATATATCAAGGCCAAAAAGAAGAGGGGGAAACCCATCGAACATTTTCCCCACTTTTACAGCAAACAGGCAACAACTCGAGGAAAAAGCCAGAGAGATTTCAAGGGGAAAACACTGAGAGAGAGGCAACCAAACCCAGAAAAAAAGAACCATTCTCAAAATTAAAAGAGCGATCATCAAAAACCATTAAAAAAACACTAAGATAGAGCGATTTTTCGAATAAAATCCAAAAAAGGGAGAGAGTCATTCGAAATAAAAAGAGAGGATATACCTGATTCAAAAGGGAGATACCTGATTCAGAAGGGAGAAAGCCATTCGAAAGACCAGGAACTCTATTGTGTTTGAAGGAGGGAAGCTAGATCAAGCTAAACTTTTCTTTTTAGCAAGGTTTAGGCTAGCTTCATGGTTTTTAGCAAAAAATAAACAGGTTTCTATCTCCAAGTATTCTCTTATTTTTGATCATTCCTTAGGGGATTCTTAGTTGCCCCTCTTTAACCCAATTATATCTAAGTTTCCTTGGTCCCTTCCTCTAGAGGGCTTCATCAAATTAAATGTGGATGCTGCTATTACTACTGATTGGAATAGAAGTGGTTTAGGTGGTGTTTTGAAAGATGTGTATGGGTGGATCCTAGGCTCTTTCAAGGAGCTTGTTGGTCCAGGGCCTCCTACCTTGATGGAATTGAAAGCTATCCTAAAGAGCTTATATTATTTTGACTCTATTCGACAGAGGTTTAAGAAGAGCTTAATTATTGAGAGTGATAGCAGGGTGGCAGTTGATTGGGTTAAGGATGTTGTTTTATGTCCTGATGTTTATGCTTACATTGTTAAAGATATTATTGAAAAACTTAGAGATTGTGAAGGTGTTATTAGATGGGTTAATAGGACAGCTAATCTAGAGGCAGATGCCCTAGCTAAGGCTGGAATTGGTTGATTTTTATGTTTTTCTTTAGGGATTTTTTTATGGTTTTAGGTTGTTGTTTTACTATGTACTAATCATTATGTTAATGAATTCCTAAGGCACTCTTTTCTTCCTTCCGCTGATTAAGCAATTGTTTTCGAGTTCCATTAATCATAAAGGAGTTTTTAATGAGGCCTAATACTCTTATAAAAAAAGTATCTTGTACTATAGGTGATTGTCTTAGAACAAATTATTTATTTAAAGCCCCCTTTTTTGCATGTTAAAATTCAAATTTTCCATTTTATCTGAAATAGCATTCATGTCACAAACCCGTTGGCATGTAGGTATGAAGATGCTTTCAACAGATTTATTGATGAGATCAACTCAGTTGCAACATATGATTGGTGGGAAGGGTCAGTGCACAGTATACTGTCAATGGTGGCATACCCTTGTATCTGGTCCTGGAAACAGTGGCGACAGAGGAAAAAGGTTCATCGTCTTCATGAATTTGTCAAATCAGAATATGATCATTCATGTTTCCGCTCTTGTAGATCACGAGATCTATACAAGGGGATGAAGGTTTTATTTCTCACATTTTTTCCTTTTGGAGTCATCTTAGAGGCTGATGCCTTAGCTAAAGCATGAATAGGCTAAGTTCAGTGTTGTTGATTACAATTGTTTAGGGTTGTTTTATGGTTTTCTGTTTCTGTAAGGAGTGTTTTTCTTTGTTGTATTTCTTATGTAACTTTCTTGTGATGAATAAAATCTTGAGTCAAATCTATTTATCATGTCAATCCACATATGACCATCATCACTCTAGACTTGACACCAGAATTGAAAATATGTATATAAAGAATCGCATAAATTAAAAGAAGCGAAACATCAAAAACCAACCCAACTTAATTTTTTTATTTAACCAAAGATTAATGGCTCCAAAAAAAAGTAGTATTTCTTTAAAAGAACAAATGGTAGCTCAGATTTCGCCGAGGAGGATATCGATAATGCTAAGTGTGGAATCTTTATTGTATGATAATCAAAGTTAAACCCAACTTTGCTCAGTGATCACACTGTGAGCTGACAAGAATTCAAAAGTACCTTATGAATTATCATTCTCAATATATAGTTGTTAGGGTGATTTTTTTGTTGTTGTAAAAACGCCCCCATACTAGTTATTATTCATCAAATGTTTCCTATAATTTATTTTACATATCCATTTAAATAATTATAAATTTAAACACATTACAATTTAAACTCATCAAATAATTTTAGTAAGTAATGAGATTGTTTTTTTTAAAAAAAAATTTAACTTTGAAACGCTGGCTTTATTTATTTAAACAACTTGAAAACATTTGCCCACATTAAATGGGAGACAACTGGAAACGAGAAAGTAAAAACGAATATTCTGCTGTGGAAGCATTTCCAATACACGAACAGAGCATGAAGAAATAAAAACCCAGATCGACCCCTAACCACAAAAGCACCGAAACCTCTTCAATCATGGAGGATCTAGCCACCTCCTATCCTCCTCCGCCTTAAGCTCTACACAACGGGGTTCGTCCTCTACCCAATACCGGTCTTCCTGCCCCATCTCAGCTCCGGTTGCCAGAACATGTGCCGCCTTATTCGTCGATCTCGGAATGAAAATAAAGGTGCATGCTTGAAACATATTTGCTTTTCTCTTTGTTTCCCAAATCCATGCACTTATTTCAGAGAAATCAGTCTCCTTCAATTCTAACTTCTTGATTACTGATCTGGAATCACCCTCTACAATGACTCGATTGAAGCCGAGATCCGCCGCCAGCTCCACTGCATGTAAAGCAGCCTTCGCTTCTGCCATAAACGCCGAGGTAATATTCGAACTAAACCGTCTGCAAGCACCTAAAATTAAACCTTCACTATCTCTGATTATAACCCCTGACCAGGCCACTTTGTTTTGTTAAACAAACCGAGCATCAAAATTCACTTTCACTTCTGGGGCGATGGCCGGTTTCCAATGAAAGATAGGGGCGTTCATCGGGGCTTGCATGAAGGCAGTGGCTCTGGAATAATCAAGACTTTGAACATGAATAAAGGTAACTAATTCATCAATCTTTGAAATCTTCCCTTGATTAATGAGATTGTTATTCCTTCTATAAATCTTAAGTTCAAATTATTACCTTACAGAGTTTGTATACGTTATTAAGAATTAAAAAATTAAATAAATACTATATTGTAAGCGCCATAAACTATTAAAAAACACACCTATTATCTTTCTTTTAATTAAGGCTCAATGCTATACGAACACATAAAAAATGTGTAAAAGAAAATTAGGAGCTCACTTTAGCATTTCAGTAGGTAAGTATGTCATAACTAGGATGATAATCTTACCTCAAACAATTCTTCACGATAGATATATATTAATGAATTCATAAATATTTTTAAGGACAAATATATATATATTAGTGAAGGCGAAGCAGGACCGGGAGGGAAACCAAAATAAATAATATAATATTTTTAAATAAAAATCAACATAAATAAAATTTAAAATCAGACACATGTTCACTTTTAAACACACCTGGATTTGCCTAGGCCTGGCAAGACCCGATTACCAGATTATCCAAACTGATTTACTCAAATGATGACCCAAATTTGATTTGAACTCCAAAAAAACCAAATTGAACCAAAACGACATGAATTTTAACCAAATCGAAATTAATTTGAACCGAAAGTAACCCGAACCGAATAGAAACCAACCCGAATTTAATTAAACTGAAAGTAACCCGAACCGAAAATAACCTGAACTGAAATTAAACCGAATTTAATTTACCCAAAACCAATCTTTTCTACAAAAAATATATAAATAATTTTATATATACTTGATTTGACTTATACCAAATTCAACTTAAATTGACATGAATATCAAAAGTTTACCCAAACCGAAAATAATAGATCATATATTGACATGACCCAAAAATCAATTGATCCAATTTGTCCCGACCCGAAATCAACCGATTCGATTTGACCCGACCCGAAATCAACCGATCCGATATGACCCGATACCCGAACCGATCCGACTTACTATAGACCAGAATAAAATCAAAACCCGAAATGAATCGACCTGACCTGGACCCAATCCGACTTATTATAGACCCGAATAAAATATAAACCCGTATGACCTGATCCGACCCAAACCGACTTATTATAGACCCAAATAAAATATAAACCCGTATGACCTGATCCGACCCAAACCCTACCCGGATTAAGTCTAAACCGAAATAAATCGAACCGAACACGATCCGAATAACTCGTTTGCCACCTCTAGATTTGCCACTTCAAATATATAAACTAAGGTTTTTTAATCAAAACAAATGTATCGATTTAAGTGTAAATTTTCTAAAAGAAATCGTGTGCAAATTCTTTAACTCAAACATGTCGCCGTCTAAATATATGATATAACGCAGTTGCACGTGTGATAGAATGCTTCCTGCTGCAATGCAACATATGGGGCCATGCCCTGCCCCTGTTAACGTATAATGTGGGCTTCCATTAATGGACCTCGCCAATGCCAATTTCTTCATCTGCCTCCTCTGTTTCCCTCTTAAAACTTTATATTTCCTTGTTTTTCTTTGAATATATTAGTGCTTAGAATTTTACTTTTTTTAAAAAAAAAAATTGGTGTTTGAAATGGGGATGGGAGGCAAATTCTGGAAACTTCTTAACCCTACGCTCGGTTCGAAGGGTTCGATTTCTTGAGAGACAAAAAGGTCGCCATTGATCTCTCATATTGGATAGTGACTACCATGAAAACTAAAGCTTTTGATCTTCATCTCAGGCTTACGTTGTACCATACCATTAACCTTTTCTCTAAGGTACTTCCAAATTCTTTAATTTTCTTTTTTGTTATTTACGTGCATGAGAAATTTATAGTGTTGGTTTCCCCCTTCCTTTGTTTAAATTGTTAAAGTTTAGAATATTTCCTGTCTTTTTTTGGACGGAACTCCATCACCGTTGAAATCTCAAGCGAGGATGGCTCGGTTTTTCCATTTCTCCGGCATTGATACTCCAACTTCGAATGTGGCCAAAGAGGGTGTTTCCAAGGAGAGGAACGATGTATTTACAAAATGTGTTAATGACTGTGTGGTGAGTTCGTATTTCTTCTATTATTTGCGGGTTCGTTAGTAATTATGTTGTTGAGAATTTGCTATTTTTGGTTGTTAGGAGCTTCTTGAACTAATGGCAATGCATATGTTGAAAACAAATGTCGAGGCTAAAGCACTGCGTGCACAGTTAAATAAAGATGGTCATGTTGATGCTTTCCTTACAGCCGACAGTGATGCATTCCTCTTTGGGGCTAATTGTGTTATTAAATGTCTTAGGCCCAATTCAAAAGTTAGTTACTCCTCCAACTTCTCCAGTTATTTATTCTGTTAATGCACCAAACCGGTTACATTTTGTTTCAAGAAATTCAAGTGTGAGGATGTTGTTTCATATGCAGGAACCATTTGAATGCTACAATATATCGGATATTGAAGCTGGTCTTGGACTAAAGAGGAAACACTTGATAGCCATCTCTCTTTTGTTTGGGAATGACCATGACCTAAATGGGGTGCAAGGGATTGGTCTCAATAAAGCACTTCGTTTTGTACGAGAGTTTAGTGAAGATGAGATATTTGATAAGTATGCTTTTACATGTAAACTTGTCGTACTATGTGCTTTCTGTAGTTCTAAATGTTATTTAGTGATATCATTCCCATAACCGTTGTACATGATGTTTGCGCAGATTATATGAAATAGGTAAAGATAATGTATTGCTCTTTCAAGGTGAAATTGAATGTGCCAATGATTTTATACCTGGTTCAGATGAGATCTCACCAAAGCCATAACAGTCTCATTGCACCTTCTGCGGACACCCAGGCAGTAAAAAGACTCATTTTAAGTCTTCTTGTGAGTATTGTATCACTGATAATAATGAAGGTTGCTCGAAAAAGTCTCAGGGGTTTAAGTGCAGCTGTCCATAATGGGAAAAGGTTCATTTTCATAGTTGTCTTACCTGATTTTCTTTTTTGTTACAATTTTTACTATCTCATTTCACACACTGATATGTTGTATTGTTTTTTGAGGCATGTTTTACTATGAACTTTGACTTTAAAAGATGACTCTTAATTCAGGAACTGTGAATTTCATAATTCCTTTGCTGAGTACTTTTTATGTTGTAAGAACTTTAGGTTAGAAAAGACAAGGACAAGAAAATTTATGGGAATTGGCGGATTAAAGTTTGCAGCATGATCTCTAAGGAAACAAATTTCCCAAATGACAAGATCATTGAAATGTACATGTGCATCAATAACGGAGTGTTTACTGGTTTGTTCCGCATATTCTCTTACATTATTTTCTTTGCCTTTGGTAATTAGGCCTTGATTCCTACGAACCTCCAAGTAGTTGTTTAGTGGTGTCAAGGCCTATATATACTTGTATATACATGAGTTTGCATTCCTTTCTTTTGACATTATTTCAATGTCTATGTGACGTTGTTTCTTTCCCCGCTAAACACATGTGTTGTTGAGTTGATTTTCATATTATATTAAGGTATTTACACCCTCCTGTTGTAGAGGAAGGTCCTTTACTGGAATGGGAAGATTAAAAAATTGATCAACTTAACAGTACATGTGTTTAGCAGGGAAAGAAACGACGTCACATAGACATTGAAATAATATCAAAAGAAAGGAATTAAAAACTCATGCATATATAATTATATATAGGCTTTGACACCACTAAACAACTACTTGGAGGTTCACAGGAGTCAGGGCCTAATTACCAAAGGCAAAGAAAATAATGTAAGAGAATATGCGGAACAAACCAGTAAACACTCTGTTATTGTTGCACATGTACATTTCAATGATCTTGTCATTTGGGAAATTTATTTCCTTAGAGATAATGCTGCAAACTTTAATCCGCCAATTCCCATCCTTTTTTTGTCCTTGTCTTTTCTAACCTAAAGTTCATACAATATAAAAAAGTACTAAGCAAAGGAATTATGAAATTCACAGTTCTCGAATTAAGAGTCATCTTTTAAAGTCAAAGTTCATAGTACAACATGCCTCAAAAAGCAATACAACAGATCAGTGTGTGAAATGAGGTAGTAACAATTGTAACAAAAGAGAAAATTAGGTAAGACAACTACGAAAATGAACCTTTTCACAAGATGGGCAGCTGCACTTAAACCCCTGAGACTTTTTCAAGCAATCCTCATTATTATCAATGATACAATACTCGCAAGAAGACTTAAAATGAGTCTTTTTGCTGCCTGGGTGTCCGCAGAAGGTGCAATGAGACTGTTGTGGCTTTGGTGAGCTCTCTCAACCAGGTATAAAATCATTGGCACATTCAATTTCACCTTGAAAGATAAATACATTACCTTTACATATTTCAAATAATCTAGGCAAACATTATGTCCAACAGTTATGAGAATGATATCACTAAATAACATTTAGAACTACAGAAAGCACATAGTACGACAAGTTTACATGTAAAAGCATACTTATCAAATATCTCATCTTCACTAAACTCTCGTACAAAACGAAGTGCTTTATTGAGACCAATCCCTTGCACCCCATTTAGGTCATGGTCATTCCCAAACAAAAGAGAGATGGCTATCAAGTGTTTCCTCTTTAGTCCAAGACCAGCTTCAATATCCGATATATTGTAGCATTCAAATGGTTCCTGCATATGAAACAACATCCTCACACTTGAATTTCTTGAAACAAAATGTAACCGGTTTGGTGCATTAACAGAATAAATAACTGGCGAAGTTGGAGGAGCAACTAACTTTTGAATTGGGCCTAAGACATTTAATAACACAAGTAGCCCCAAAGAGGAATGCATCACTGTCGGCTGTAACGCAAGCATCAACATGACCATCTTTATTTAACTGAGGACACAGTGCTTCAGCCTCGACATTTGTTTTCAACACATACATTCCCATTAGTTCAACAAGCTCCTAACAATCAAAAATAGAAAATTCTCAAAAACATAATTACTAACGAACCCGCAAATAAAAGAAGAAATACGAATTCACCATACAGTCATTAACACATTTTGTTAATACAACGTTCCTCTCCTTGGAAACACCCTCTTTGGCCACATTCGAAGTTGGAGTATCAATGCCGGAGAAACGGAAAAACCGAGCCATCATCGCTTGAGATTTCAACGGTGATGGAGTTCCGTCCAAAACAAAGATAGGAAATACTCCAAACTATAACAATTTAAACAAAGGAAGGGGGAAATCAACACTATAAATTTCTCATGCACGTAAAGAACAAAAAATAAAATTAAAGAAATTGGAAGTACCTTAGAGAAAATGTTAATGGTACGGTAGAAAGTAAGCCTGAGATGAAGATCAAAAGCTTTAGTTTTCATGGCAGTCACTATCTAGTAGGAGAGATCAATGACGACCTTTTTGTCTCTGAAGAAATCGAACCCTTCGAACCGAGCGTAGGGTTTAAGAAGTTCCCAGAATTTGCCTCCCATCCCAATTTCAAACACCATTTTTTTTTAAAAAGTAAAATTCTAAGAACTAATATATTCAAAGAAAAACAAGGAAAATATAAAGTTTTAAGAGGGAAACGGAGGAGGCAGATGAAGAAATTGGCATCCTAGACAGCAAGGAGGGAGGTCACAGAACAAGAATTAAGGGCCCCTGAAATTTACTAAATTATCATTTCAATCTTGGTCAAAGGTATCGTTCCAAGACTTCAAAAAGTCTATTACTATGTTGGAAAGTTCTATCAACTTGCTGAAAGGGAAGCTTCAAAGTGGTGTAGGTGATAGTTCGACAAAAACAGAGCTTTCGAAGCCACGGGGCAAGCTTTGGTTTGAGTTGAGAAATGAGGAGAGGGCATGGTGGCAAAAATCAAGGGTAAAGTGGCTGAATGGGGGAGATAAAAATACTCGTTCTTTCAATTGACTGTTACTAACGGTCGTAACAGAAACACGATCTCATCTTTGAAGACCGGGGATAACAGAATTACTTCGGCTTTGATCGACATTAAATCGAACATATTCGAGCACTTTCGAAATTTTCGGTCGTCAGATTCTGTTCTTTGATTACAAATGAAACCATCGATTATTTAGTAAAATCGAAGACGAGTGGTATAACATTCAAAATTGACTTCCAAAAGGCATACGAAACCATTGATTGGGAGTTCCTACTGAAACTTCTTTCGGCAATGGGTTTTGGTGAACGGTGGTACAAGTGAATTCTATAGTGTATCCCCACAACTCATATCTCAATTCTAGTAAATGGTTCCCCAACTGATTGTTTCCAAAATTCTAGGGGCCTTCGGCAATGGTTCCCGCTATCCCCTTATTGTTCAATACTGTGGGAGAAGCGTTAAGTCAAATGCTTACTAAAGCTCTGAAGTCTGATCTCTACTATGTTTCTATAGTTTCGGGGTCAAACAAAGTGTGTATATCCCAGCTTCAATTTGCTGCTGATCTTTTAATCTTTTGTGGGGCGAATGAATCCGAGTACTCAACATTGAGGGAGTACTCCGTGTTTTATAAAACCAGCGTCTAGTCTTAAAGCCAATTTAAAAAAAGTATAATTTTTTGGATTCATGTGGCGAAGTCTGATCTTTGTAGATGGGTAGTCTCGGCTGGGTGTACGGTAGGAGCTTTACCTTCCGACTATCTGGTTTTACCTCTGGGAGCTAAGAGAAATTCGGGTTCTCTTAGGAAACCAATTATATAAAAATTCCATAAAAGGCTTGCAAGTTGGAAAGCAAAAATTCTATCTTTTGTTGGGCGTCTAACGCTAGTGAAAGTTGTCCTCTCTAGCCTTCTTGTATATTTTCTCTCTATTTTTCGTATTCTTGAAGCCGTCCTCCATCAACTGAACTCCTTGATGTCAAATTTCCTTTGGGTAGCTCTAAAGGTAAAAGAAAGATACATTAGATAAAATAGTCAGAGGTTTTTTCCCGGCTCAAGTTTGGGGGATTAGGTGTCTACGATTTGATTTTGAAGAATAAAAAGCTTCTTGCTAAATGGGTGTGGCATTTTGGGAATGAGAGGGAGAATTTGTGGAGACAGGTTATCATTGTTGAAACGGTCCTTAAGCTCTCTGACTTGCTTAGATCAGGATAAACCAACTTAATTTTGAAAACTAGGGTTTTGGGAAACAAATTATTTGAAGTCTTCATCTATCTTTGGGTTAGGTAGGTCGAATAATTAAAAATATCTTTTAAAATATTTTTTAAGAAAAATTAAGTTAAAAGATGAAACTAATATGCGTTAAATCGAAAAATCATCTCAAAGTGAGTTCGGGAGGCAGTTATGCGTGGGGGAAGGATGAGTACCCCCACGACAGCCAAAATTGATACCTAATTAATTATATGTCATCTTTATATTTGAAAATTATAGCTTAGAATGATATTTAAATTATGATCCTTGTATTTAAAATTAATGCAAAATAGTAAATATTTAAAAAGGTATTCTTTTATACTAGCAATCATCGGAAATACACCCCTTGCCAGCTAAAGCTCATTTCCACGGATTCCCCACATAAAAGAACATTGCCTTAGTTTTGTATTAAATTAAATATACTTAATATGTAAAAAAATATTTGTGTAAATTGGATGTCAGTTCATACAAAGAATCGTCGAAAATACTCTCCTCACTAATTAAGGCATATTTCCCCAAATTCTTCTTACGAAATAACATTGTCTCAATTTTTTTTAGATAAAATACATATATTAAAAATTTATTTGAATAAAAACATATCATTTTATACGAACAATTCTAGGAGAGGCTCTCCTTACCAGTTAAGCCGTATCTCCATAAATTATTCCCACAAAATGATATTTATTTCATATTTATGATTTTATTACTTTTATTGTTATCAATTTTATTACTATAATTATTTTGTTATTGTGTTTTTAAAAAGTGTATTAAGCAACGTACCAGTAATGCCCTATAAAAAAGAACATTTGAAACTCAACTAAAATAAATGAATAAATGAGTACATAAAATAGTAAAATAACTAAAATGAAATGGAACTCATGCTACTTAAAACATGCTAACATATAGCGTGAATAAGCGTTGAACGTTTTAACCATAACTAATACTCAATATTAAAAATATAAAGATTTAATTCAAACTAGGATATACAAATATACGTAAGGTACTATATGCATTTATATTAACTAATGATATATACATATCATCATACATACACGTACGCATATTATGAGCATAAGCAAATAATGGACTAAAATATAAAATACAGGGATGAATATGTACTAATTATAAAATAAAGATAATAGAAAAGTAAATAGACATCCAAAGGCAAAGTAGGATTAAATTGAACTATTTTGAAATATCATGGAAAATGTATAAATAACATAAAACAAGGAACAACACACAATATGGACTAAAGTAAACACGCGAGAAAGTTACGAAACAAAAACAGTAAAAATACGACATCTATTGTGCGGCACCAGACGGTGTTCCATGGTGTATGCTTTTCGCTGACGCATTGTCCTAGTTGCTGATCAAAAACTGAGCTGAATAGTAGACTGGCTACCTGGAAGACTACTTTGGAAGAAAAAGGTGTAAGGATCAATATTGAAAAGACAGAGTATTTATGTTCAAACTTCAGTGTGAACCAAAACGATGAAGATGTAGAAGTTTGCATCGAAGGACACGTTCTCCCCTCAAAAGATTATTTCAAGTACCTAGGGTCTATGATACATAAAGATGGGGGTGTAGATGATGACGTTACACACCGTATAAAGGCGGGATGGCTAAAGTGGAGGGTTGTTACTGGAGTTTTGTGTGACAAGAAGGTGCCTTTAAAACTTAAGGGAAAATTCTATAGAATGGCAATAAGACCAGTGCTGCTGTATGGATCAAAATGTTGGGCAATCAAGAAGGTCACGTAATGAGGATAGAGGCCGCAGAAATGAGAATGCTTCGATGGGCATGTGGTAGGACTCTGTGGGATATGACACCAAACTCTGTAATTAGGATGTCCTTGGGGGTGGTGCCTGTATCCGAAAAATTGAGGGAGAAAAGACTACGGTGGTTTGGGCATGTCCTTAGGCGACAACCGTCGCATGCGATCAGAAGGATAGAGTTGATTACAGCCGACGGTGCCAGAAGGAGAGGACGACCAAGGAGGAAGTGGGTACACTGCTTGAGAGTTGATTTGAAGGATTTAGCACTTACCGAGGACATGACCTCTGATAGGAAAGTATGGAGACTTAAGACCAGGGTAGCCGAGTAGTGTGGGTCACAGCCATAGGGTGTAGCATCTCTGTCTTCTTTTTAATGCCTTTGTAGTAATTTTCCATGACTTTTACTTTTTATACGTTTCTGTCATTGGAAATTATGAAGGCTTAGAACTAGGGTAGCGGAGTAGTGTTTCCTTAGTTTAGTTTTTAACTCATTTGACTTTATTCCTTCTCGTAGCTTGCTATCACTGACTTCTGTGAATGCATCATTCTCTTCATGTTTCCTCTTTTTAAATTTAGTCAGGACTTACGTTTCTGTCTATATGCAGAGATTTTTACGCATGAATTTATTTGTAGGGATTACTTCCCATTACAGACGCGCATATGAAGACTGCATATGAATACTGTTCAACTATGTATTTATTTATTTATACATGCATTGTATTTTATCTTTATTTTTAATTTTCTGACTGCCGGAGGTCTTCCACAGAAGCTGCTCTCAACCTGGCATTGGGGGCAGCCTACTACCCTACCTCCCCCTTACCCCATTGTATATGGGAATAGGGTTTTATTGTTATTGTTGTTGTTGTTGTATTTTATCAAAAAAGTGTGTGAGCTCCTATACAATTAAACCCTCATGATAAAAAGAACCTTAGCTCTTCTATAGAAGCAAAACGACATCGTTTAAGGGTTACCATAAAACCCATGTTAACTCCCCTAAACCAACCCTGACATCATTTTATGTTTGCTCAACCGCTCGTCTCCCCTCCAAATCCTCTCTCCCTGTTTTCTTTCTTTGAAAACCCATCAGCAAAAACAAAAAACAATGGCCACCATGGCCTCCGCCTTCTCACTACTCCGATGAGGAGTCGATGATATTTAAATAGCTCCCTCGCTTACAAAAATCCCAAAAAAATGAATCCCTTAAGCCTAAAGTATACAACCAAAGGTACAAAACATACCCAAAATGAAAGGTTTTTTCGAAGGTACTTTCGATTGGAAGGCCTTTGTCTCTGATGAACGGCAGTTCTCCTCCTCCGGGGAGCGAAGGCTACGTTTTTTGAATGAAAAAAGGGTTAGGTTTTTGGGTTTTTTTCTCTTTCTTTCGATTTCTCCTCTGTCTTTTTTTTTTGTGTTATCATCCCCCTTTCTCTATTTGTCCTTTCTTTTATATAACCCCTCTCACCT